GCCAAGCAGGGAGCCCGATGCGGGGCTGGATCCCAGGACCCTGGGATCATGACCTGAGCTGAAGGCAGACTCTTTTAACGACTGAGCCAACCAGGTGCCCCAGTCAGATTGTTCTTTGATACTGAGTTGTATGAGTTGTTGGTTTTTTGTTTTTTAGATTTTATTTTTTTAAATTAAGCTCTACACCCACTGTGGGGCTCGAGCTGAATGACCCTGAGATCAAGAGTCACATGCTCCGCCGACTGAGCCAGCCAGGCACCCTTGTATGAGGGTTTTTTTTTTTAATATATTTTTTGGATGTTAATCCCTTATTGGATAATATCATTTGCGAATATCTTCTTCCATTCATTTGGTTACGTTTTTGTTCCGTTCCCTTTGCAAGCTTTTTAGTTCTGTGTAGTCCCATTTGCTTATTTTTGTTTTTGTTTTCCTTGCCTAAGGAGAAAGATCCAAAAAAATAGTGCTAAGACTGATGAACCATACCAGGTGTTTTATGGTTTCAGGTTTTACATTTAAGTCTTTAATCCATCTTGAATTTAGTTTTGTGTATGGTGTGAGAAAGTGGTCCAGTTTTATTTTTGCATATAGCTGCCTAGTTTTCCCGGCACCATTTTTTGAAGAGACTGTCTTTTCCCCATTGTATATTCTTTCCTCCTTTGTCGTAGATTAATGGAACATATGTGTATGGTTTTATTTCTAGGCTCTATTATATTCCATTGATCTGTGTGTCTGTGCCAATACCATACTGTTTTGAATACTGTAACTTTGTAGTATACTTTAAAATCTGAGAGGGTGATACCTTCAGCTTTGTTGTTTCTCAAGATTGCTTTGGCTATTTGGGCTCTTTTGTGGCATCATACAAACTTTAGGATTATTTGTTCAAGTTCTGTGAAAAATGCCATTGGTATTTTGATAGGGATTGCCCTGAAGTCTTTAGATTGCTTTGGGTAGTATGGACGTAACAGTATTCTTCCAGTTCATGTCATGGTATATCTTTGCATTTGTATCTTTATTTTCTTTCATCAGTGTCTTAACAGTTTTCAGAGTACAGGTTTTTTTACTTCCTTGGTTCAATGTAGTCCTAAGTATTCTTTCTTTATTTTTTTTTATAATGGAATTGTAAATGGGATTGTTTTCTTAATTTCTCCTTCTGGTAGTTTGTTGTTCGTGTATATAAATGCAACAGATTTTTATAAATTGATTTTGTATTCTACAACCTTACTAAATTGATTTATCCTCATAGGTTTTTGGTGGAGCTGTTGAGGTTTTCTATATATAATAGCATGTCATCTACAAATAGTGACAAGGTGCCTTGTATTTATTTTCCTTGCCTGATTACTGTTCATGCCCCTTAATTTCTTTAACCACCACATATGTACCCATCTCCCTGTCCTTCTCACTTCAGAAATGACAGGTTTTTTTTTTTTTTTTTTTTAAAGATTTTATTTATTTATTTGAGAGAGAGAGAATGAAAGAGAAGAGTAAGAGGGAGAAGCAGACTCCCCGCCGAGCAGGGAGCCCGATGCGGGACTCGATCCAGGGACTCCAGGATCATGACCTGAGCCAAAGGCAGTCGCTTAACCAACTGAGCCACCCAGGCGCCCAGAAATGACAGGTTTTTTGAAAGAGAAGCAATTTGCCATTCACAGCAAATAATGAAAAGCAGATCCATTATGATGGACGATGAAGATAATTGTTGATTGTGATCTCCAGTCTACTAAGTATATCCTAAACCCTAGCTGTTTCTCTTAGGGAACTGGAAGTGGATCCTAGGGTGGGGCCCAAAACACCCTTCCACTCTCATTCATACACTTGCTCATGTGCAGACTTTGTTGGGAGGAGGAGGAGTTTCCAGGATCCTTGTGTACAAGAGTGGGGAAGTAAATGATTTGTTACCATGGAATAGACTTCTTGCATTTACTTCAAGAGGAGTGAGCACATAGATTAGTGCTGGAGTTGTTGGTTTTTTGTTTTTTAGATTTTATTTTTTTTAAATTAATCTCTATGCCCACTGTGGGGCTTGAACTGAATTTGTTCAGACCAGGCCCTAGGGATTATTTCTAGGAAGACAAAGGGGATTCTGGACCTAAAAAAAGGAAAATCCACCTTACTCTGATTTTTCTAGTAGGTTGGCCCCATTGCTTCTGCTGTTTGCAAGTAAAAATTAGCTCAGAATGAAGATGGTGGTTGGAATGCCTATCAGGTGGAAGGTAGCTCTCTCATCCAAAGACTAGGGAGGAATAATTTCCTTGGAAGTAGGAGTCTGAGGTTAGCACTAGAATTCTAGAACTGCAAGGGCCTTGGAGATCTGGTGGTTTTGTGAACCCATGCAATTCTGGTATACAAGGGCTGTATCTCACCCGTCTACCCCAGAGGAGAAGTCTGCCCAGTTCTTGGGTAGTTCCACTGACCAATACATTGCAAGCCAGCTTTCTTCAGTGGCCCAGCGTTCCTGGTGTTTACAAGAACCTCAACGGAGGCTCATAGTTGTCACTAGGGAATGGGAACAGAACCATACCTGTGTGTGTGTGTGTGGGGGGGGTATATACACCTTTGCTTACGGAAGTCCCTCTTAATTTTTTCTGGCCCAGGCACTATTATTCTGTCCCTTAACACATTGGAACGGGGGGATGATAATAGTTTATTGTCCCTAGTAGAAAATAAATTTCTCCTTGAAAACAACATAGTCCTCAGTCATGCCCCTTCTGCTGGTTGGTGTTGGTGAGGCTAAGAGCGGGGGAGATGAGGATGGCCTGAGGCTTTCCAGAGGAGGCAGGAGGTGGTGCATCTGTTTTTTATGCTGTTCCAGGGCAGTGTTGGTGGCATCTCCCAGTGAAAAAAATTTTTTTAAGGATTTATTTTATTTATTTGAGAGAGTGTGTGTGTATGAGCGTGAGCCATGGGAGGGGCAGAGGGAGAGAATCTTGGGCAGACTCGCCTCTGAGCGTGGAACCCAACACGGGGCTTGAGCTCAGGACCCTGAGAGCCTGACCTAAGCTGAAATCAAGAGTTGGATGCTTAACTGACTGAGCCATCCAGGTGCCCTGCAGTGAAATTTCTAAGTGTAATTTCAGGCCCCTGGTTGAAATCCTTGAGAGAAAGGAGCCAAGCTAGAGCAGTGATGGGTTTGGACTTCCTGTCTCAGCTGGAATGCTCACACAGGTCTCTTCGTACTGAGGATCTTAGTTGGATGCCCCTTTGGTTATTGTACCATTGCCATTTTAGGTGTGAGTTCAGTTTTATCGCTCTGAGCCCAAGTGAGGAACTCGAGTCTGGCGTGCCATGCCACATAAAGCAAAAAGTGTGAAGAATGGTGCCTTGCATCTTACTACAACTGGCTTTCAGGAAAAAAAAAAAAAGCCGTGATTTATGTCATTTGCTGATTTCTGTGGTGTAAATATTTCCCCTGTGGCCCGTGTAAGCTACCAACGTGACCTCAGTAAACACACAGTTGGGGAGATACGGGCTCAGTTGTGTGAGCGGGCGCGAGCACACCCCTGCGGCGGCCTCCCGTATGGTATCCATCGCGTTCAGCCGCCTGGAGGCTGGGCTGTTGGGGTCACGGGACAGGCCTGTTGCCGACTCGTGGAGCACGTGCACCACTTCCTGCCCTGCTTCACTTGCTGTTGGCCTGTGAGGTGAGCTACAGCTCAGCCTCAGGAACCACTAAATCAAGATTCAAAGAAGGCAGTGGGTCCACCTAAATATCATGGTGGCAGTAAGGGCACACACCTGGAGGTGACAGGGAGCTCCTTCAGGAGCCTTTCACCCTCTGCAATCCATCTGATTATTGGCTTCCTTACTCAGTTCCCAGCAATTATTCCTTCTCCGTGATACACGTGCGCCTCAGTGTCCATTCTGCTCACATCAGTGTTACCTAAACTCCTATGCCCAGGTCAGATTGTAGCAAAGGAGGGCAAGGAAGCCCAACATTTGGTGGCATACCAGGGACAAATTCAGACCATAATACTCTGTACGGTAGTGCACCTCTTCTCTGAGAGCCAGATCCCTGGATTTAATTCAGTTCTTGACCCTGGAGAGATTTGGGTTATTGATTTCTTGTCCAGGTCTTTTGTTTAGATTGGGGAGGAAGCCATCATTGGAAAAGTGGCCTTGAGAGTTCCTCGGGGACATGGTACCCAGCCCATGTGATCTCTTGAGACCCATATGCCTCTCCAGCTGGAAGGGACTGTGTAGGTTTTGAGATTGCCTCATAGGCTGTTGAAGTACTGGTAGAATAAGGAAGGGGACTGGGGGACAGAGTGCTAAGGCCTTGAAGGCACGCCAGGATCTGGTTCCTTTCAGGGCTTGTCAGTGTCACAGATTTGTTTGATGTCGAGCAGGTGTTCCTCGGGTCAGATATGCCCAGCTGGGCTCCCTCTGCTTTCTGCAGGGTGGTGGGTGCGCTGGAAGAGCACAGGAGTAGGTCTGGAAGCTGAAAGGATTGGCGGGGGCAGTGGTGTAGCTTTAGAACACTTGTTTCTGCAGAGCCAGGGCAGAGGTTGGAGTGGGATGTTGTGTTAAATTTTTAAGCCCCGGCGTTTACTGTCTCACCTTCTCTGTCTTTTGCAGTAGTATTTTGCCTTTGAGTAACTGTCCCCAGCTCCAGTGCTGCAGGCACATTGTTCCGGGGCCTCTGTGGTGCTCCTGATGCCCCTCACCCACTGTCGAAGATCCCCGGTGGGCGAGGGGGCGGCAGGGATCCTTCTCTCTCAGCTCTAATATATAAGGTAAGGAGGACTCCGGGGTGGAAGGCTTGGAGCAGAGCTGTCGGAAGATTCCACTCAGCTGCTGCTTAAGGGTAGTAATTGCCTTCTTGAGTCTTCTCTTAGGCCAGGCCAGTAGGGGAATCCGGAAGGACTCTTTCAGATGAGGCTGCTCTGTGGTTGTGGGGAGTACTAGGAGGAGGAGATCGGCAGCAAGCAAACACTGCCATCTTCTTAGCTTGGTGGTCAGCACTTCAGTGCCAGTTCAGGGTCCTGAGTGGGAAGAACTCAGATGAATGGGAGGGGTGCAAGAACTCTTTTGGTGTGATTCCTCAGTTTCTCTTGAGAAATACCAAGGGCCAGGAGGAGCAGTTTTCCACGACTCTCAGGCATTCTGATTTTCCATCCCTTACTGGCCTGATTGGGGTTGGGCTGGATAGAGGGGGGTGGGTGGGGTGGGGGGACAGGAGAAGGGGCTTTGCATCTCCATCATCTGTCATTCTGGCAGCATAGGGTACATCCCAGGAGCTTTAGAGAATGCTGGCCATCTGCCCTAAGAATGATCTGGGCTGGGGCAGCCAGTCCTTTGCTGCCCTTTAATCTCCTGTGATTGAGGCCCAAAAGTTGGCTTAGCTTCTCCCCAAGATTGGCACTGAAGGGTAGCAGGGTGGCTGAGTTCTGGCCTCTTGAGGTTGTGCACAGGGGAGACAACATGGACTTGTAGCCTACCTGGAAGCAGGCTTTGGTTGAGCTGGGCCCCAGCTAGGCCCTCACATATATTCGCTTTGTTTCTAATGTTTTTCTTTCAGAGAGAGAAGGGAAAGAGCTTGGTGTTCGGGGGACACACATGGGTTTAGAGTCAGGGAGACCTTGTCTGAATATCAACTCTGCCATTTACTAGCTATGGAGATTCGGGTCTGTTGCTTAATTGTTCTGAGCCCCTAGCATCTCAGATTTAAAATGGGGGTATTAATAACTAGCTCAGATGTTTCTGGTGGCTTGAAAAATGGGAAAGCACCTTACACAGTACTTGGCATCTAGTGGACACTTGGTAGGTATTTCCCTTCCCATCATGCTGACTTGTAGCTGTCATCAGCTTGTCTTTGTGCCTGACGAGTGATGGATGGCTCCATTTAGCCAGCATGCGGCTCTACATTTTCAGTGTGTCCTTCATCCCATACTACCCTGAGATTGGCCCAAGAGGACTCCCAGGACCACCTAGGTTAGGGAGCCTGTGATGTGGCCAGAGCAGTAGTGACCTGGTCCTCTGACCTGATCTCCTCCCAGGACGAGAAGCTCACTGTGACCCAGGACCTCCCTGTGAACGATGGAAAACCTCACATTGTCCACTTCCAGTATGAGGTCACCGAGGTGAAAGTCTCTTCCTGGGATGCAGTCCTGTCCAGCCAGAGTCTGTTTGTAGAAATCCCAGATGGATTATTAGCTGATGGGAGCAAAGAAGGGTAAGGAGCAGGTGCTGGGGAAGGGGAAGGAGGGCCCATTCCAGAGAAGGGCATATGTTTGTTGGGGCCAGCAGATGAACAGAGGGTCTGCCTTCTTCCCTAGTTCTAGGTTTCCCAAGCAGATACCAGTTCCTAACAGGTTATTTTTAGCCAGTAAAACAGGCCTGCTGTACGTTATAATTAAGGGAGATTATCATCACATTAACCAAATCCCGGTCATTTAATTGCCCCATGGTTCACTCTTCTCAGCAGACATCAAATCCCCCTTCAGCCGCCATACAGTGATGCAGTTCAAAAGGGCAGGAAGCTTTGAGCTACAGTAGGATTTCATTGGATTGGGCGAGGCCCTCCAAGGCAGCCAGGTGTGTAAGAAACAGTCCTAAAGACGGAGTTCTCTTGAGTTGCTCCTTTCTCTTGAGGAAATCCTTTTAGGCGGTGTTAGGGCCCAGAGAGTGTCCCAGTGGCCGTGGTTCTCAAACTTGGCAACTTTGGAAGACCACTGAAAAACCAGGTTCTCTTCCTAGGCCCCATACTATCTTGTGAACTGCATTAGTGAAGTTGGTTAGTATTAATTTCAGATGAAGAACCCTTATTCCAGGAAGGGAGAATTCAGTTAACATTTTTCTCTGGGATTGTGGCTTTTTTCTGCACTTCAGGCTCTTGAAATAGGAAGCCTCTCCCTGGAGGTTCCCTATTTATATTGCTGGCTGTAAGCCTCAGAGAAGGCTTTTTGAGGGAGGGTTGGGTGGGTGGGAAGTCTAGAGAGGTGGTAGTAGGCCTGAGTTGTTTTCTTTGCTTCTGGCAGATTGTTAGCACTGCTAGAGTTTGCTGAAGAGAAGATGAAAGTGAACTACGTCTTCATCTGCTTCAGGAAGGGCCGGGAAGACAGAGGTGAGGAATCAAAGTAGCCTGAGACCTACTGCCTAGACAGTGGGGAAGTAGTGAGGGGAAAAGGGGCTCCCTATTCAGTGAAGTAAGGCTCTTGAATTTGCCATATAAACTCTGGGAAATCACAGGGGTGGTGCCCGAAGGGTCTTTAGTAAAGGCCTCGTGCTTATTTATTCCATCTTGGTTTTTTGTTTTCCCTTGGTTTGAACCTACCCTTGTGTTTCTTATCAGAATCCTTTTTACACTCTTCTGCAGCTCCACTCCTGAAGACCTTCAGCTTCTTGGGCTTTGAGATTGTGCGTCCAGGCCATCCCTGTGTTCCCTCTCGGCCAGATGTGATGTTCATGGTTTACCCCCTGGACCAGAACTTGTCCGATGAGGACTAATGGTCATAGAGGATGCTTTGCCCAAGAGCCACAGTGGGGGAAGAGGGGAAGTTAGGCAGCCCTGGGACAGAGGAGGGGGCTCCTTGCTGTCTAGGGAAGGACGCTGAGGGGCTCAGGGTGAGGGTTGCCTATTGTGTTCTCGGAGTTGACTCGTTGAGATTGTTTTCCATAAAGAACAGTATAAACATATTATTCACATGTAATCACCAATAGTAAATGAAGATGTTTATGAACTGGCATTAGAAGCTTTTTAAACTGCGCTGTGTGATGTGCTCTGTCTAGCCTAGGGGAGGACATTGCCTAGATGGGGGGAGGGACTGTCTGGGTCCAGGGGCAAGGCCTGGAGGGCTGGTGGGCAGCACTGTCAGGCTCAGGTTCCCCTGCTGTTGGGCTTTCTTTTTTGGTTTTTAAGACTTGTGTATTTTCTTTCCTTGCTTCCTTTCAACCCAGGGACTCCTGAGTATAGGCTTTTTGGCCCCTGGGCTGTGTCCTTGTTTTTCGACACTCCACCTGGACTCCTCTGTGTGCGTTTGTGTCTGGTCTGGAGAAACCAGGTCTGACCCCCTCCTTCTTTACAGCTTAGTGTTACTCTGGCATTTGGTTAAGCTGGCTTAATCTGTTTAATGTTATCAGTGCATTTTAAATAGGGGCATTGAAGTTCACTCCCACCACCAGGGCTTTCTTTGGGGGTGCCTGGGCCTTAAAACACTAGCCAAACTCCCAATTCTCAAATCAAGCCAGTTCTTGCTCCTGGCTGCAGGCCCAGGCCCCAAGGTGTCTCCTTCCTAGGGTCACAAAAGAGCAGAGAGGAAGAGGAATAGCAACTCAGGGCCTGGGGGTCGTGTGGGAATCTGCTCTTAGGGACTGGATGCCTCTGCCTGGCTGAGTACAGTGCTGACTGCCCCTCCTCTCTCTCTCTCAACAGGTTCTGAGTAGTGCCTGAGCCCCTGCCCCACAGGGCTTAGGGGTGGGACTGAGGGTATAGAAGTGGCCTGCCCTTTTCTGTTTTCACTGAACAGCTTGTTCTAAGGGGGGAGAGATCTAGATTGGGTGAGATGGGGGTGGGGGTGTCAGGGAGGCAAGTGTGTTGTGTTACTGTGTCAATAAACTGATTTAAAGTTGTGGTTGGTCTGTTTTTCATTCCTGTACCAGGACCGGCTTTCTACCACTACTCTTTTGAGTCTAGAGCGTAACGTAGCAGGGGTCTGATACGTGCTTCTCAGGAAAAAAGCTGCGGTGCATCAGGACAGATAAACCGGCTGAAGCCTCTGGGGCCATATTACACTGCAAAACACGGTTGCTAGGACTCTGGGACAAACTGCCAGTACCCCCTAGAGAGGTATGTACACATCAGCTTCATCCAAAATAGAGGCTCTACCCAGGATGCACGCTGTTCTCAGTGTTTCCTCTTGTGGAGAAGGCTGGGTCCTGAAACTGAGTTCTGACTTTTGCATAGGCTGCCTGACATTCTCATTCTTGGAGGTGTTTGAAGGAAGCAGCACACACCTTCCTTAGGACGGTGTGGCTGCCATTCCCCTTGTACCACCAGCCCGACTGATAAGCTCTCATAGGGAGCTAGAATTTTTTTTTTCCCTAAACTAGGCTCCACACCCAGCATGGGGCTTGAACTCCAGATAGCCCCTTAAATTCTTTTTAATTGGTTAATTAAATGCTTACAATAGCAATTTTTTCCCCTTTTGCTTCTGTTTTCCCAAGTGCTGGGCAGGTTCTTCTTCCTACAGCTTTGGAATGATCTACTTTGGAACAGTCAATAGCTGTGGCTGTCCTAAGTTTTTCTGAGTCTTTGGCCCATTTTCACAGTGTCCTGTGTGGAGCTTGTGTTTTCACACCAGGCCAGGTTACTAACCTTGGACCTGTCACAGTGGACCAGGTTTTTAAAAGTGACTAACACCTCCACCTTCCACAGTATTAGAAGGTCTGGTCCTAGACATTCAGCTGCAACAGGAAGGACTCGAAGATGTCCTCCACTGAGGAGCTAACCCCTAGAGGCAGCATAAAGGCAGGGACTGGAAAATGGTCACTACTGAGACACCTGCAGTAGAGGTCCATGTGAATGTGGACAATGGCCAAGTTAATGTAGGCAGTTTAGGATCATGGTAAACTCAAGCCCAGAGAATCTACAAGACTGGGATAAAGAACCAAGACAAAATGCAGTCCTTTACTAGTCTTTCAAACAAGCAGAGGGGACAGGAAACACACCTGAGGTTCTGCTGCCATCTGTTGGTAGATCCCCTTCAATACAGCTAGAGGTAGAAGGGCAGAATTGGAAACCCTTTCAAAAAAGAAAAATTTTGCCAGATAAGACTGCTGGCAGGAAAGAAATCTGGTACCCAAAAGTTGCACTCCAATTAAAAAAGTAACTTAGAAGGTATATTCTGAGGGGTTGATGGATAGGGAGGATATGTGAAAGGCAAACTAAGTCTAAATTTAAGAACAGGGATATTACAAACTTTATTTAATAAATACAACAAATAATTTAAAAATATACTTCAATTCCAAAGCCAATTAAGAAAAGGAAGTAGAGAAAGGGGAAAAAAGGGGGAGCAGGAGATCAGAGGAAAAAGATAAAGTTCAAGAGACAGAACAATGGTTTGGTTGGGCTGTGTGTCAGAATGTACCACCCTTTAAAATTCTGACCAAATGCTCTTGACTCCTAAACCCTTAGCCCTTGTTCTGATGGGGTAGCCATAGGAGTCTACCAGCTAGGAATGATTCTCTGCGCTCTGGATCAGAGCACTCCAGAGGCTGGAATCGGGCGGGGGGAGGGGGGAGTGTTTAGGAGACAGTTTCGCACTCATTCCTAAAAACCATCTGTTCTAACTCCCAGGGGGGTTTAAATAGTGCAAAACTCTTAAGTGGAGAGCTCCTAGCTGCATAGTTTCACAACTGAGTGTCCAAAGCCAGGGCCTCTGCGAGACAGGTCCCAGGTACCGAGGGGTCTAAAGCCACTTTGGTGAATGGGATCTAAGGGGGAAGACAGGAGAGGCCAGGTCCGGAAAACACTGCTGGGCAAGAAAGGACTGCAGGGCAGGTAGTCTGGACACTGGATTCAGCAGTTGGCCATCAGCCAGGGAAGGTGGAGCTGAGGATGCTTATGGAGCAGGACCAGGAAGATCAGGAAAGTTGAGGGAAAACAGAAAAGTGGGGAGGGAGGAGGAGGCAGCTCAGCAGCAAACTCCAGGAGAAATAACCAGCAGCCCTCACAGATTTGTGATTGTCTCTTAAAAAGATTTATTTTCTCTTCTTGCCTGAATGTACAAAGGCAAAAAGAGTACAGTTTGTATATATATATATTTATATATATATATATATAAAAAACAAGGAACTTGGTAATGTACACTTTACAGAAGGGAAGAATCAGGAAGACTGAAATTAAATCCAACAGAGCAACGCCAATGGAACAAAAGCTATGAACAGCAACACTGCCCCTCCAGCCCGGGCCTCCAGCTTGCCCCAACCTGCTCCCAATGGGGGGGCTGAGCACCAAGGCAAGCGGGTGGGCTGGGGCAAGAGGGGCTGGGGGCGGGGCCTGGGAGGGGCTTGATCCCAGGAGGGGCCCATGGCAGAGGATCACTGGAAAGCTTCCTGGGTTGCCCTACTAGTAAAACAAATGACAAAGGCCCGGAATTATGGGGCCAGCTAGCTGCCCAGTTGAATCATAGGGGCAGGAGAGTAGACACTGGGATGGTGACAGGGTACATAGTACAATAAGCGACATGGGTGACCTCAAAGCCCATGTACAGTAACTCTAGCCCTTCTATAGTCTCCCCCTCCCAACCCCCAAGCCACATCCTCTCACCCTCGCCTTGGAGCCTGGAGAGAAGATTCAAGAATCACCATTTCATTTCATGGGGTGCCCTCTTAACCCTTCTGCATGTGGTCTTTCGACCTGGGGACATGTGGAGGGGATGAGGTAAGAGAAGGGAGCCTCATACATGTACACATACATGTACAGGCAGGGAAGGGAGGGATGAAGAGGCAGATGTGAGCCCTAAAGAGCAGCTCTCCAAGCCTTGGCTGTCCTAGCTGGCGGGGAGGCTCCTGCCCTCTAGCTTCTCGTGCAGAGCCCCGACGAGCGAGGTCTTGGAAGAGGCCCGGGCAGGGGTGGCTCACAGTGAGCCTTGGTCCGGGGGTTGTGGCCCTTAGCAGCACACTTTGCCAGCCTTTGCCCATGGGGTGGGACCCTTGCAGAGGCTCTCATCTCTCTGAGCAGGTCGTGGGTACCCCCACCCGGGGGCCGCCTCCCCATACAGAGCGGCACGAGGCGGACAGCAGATCGTTCCCTCGGCACTGGGCGAGGACCGGCTGCTGCTTCGTGTTGTTTCAGGGAGGGAAGACGGGGCTGGGTGAGGAGCGGGGACTGGGAAAAGGCAGCGCTAGTCCGCCCTTGCTGCTTTGACCTGCTCCTCTGGGCAGCTCAGCGCCTACTCTTCTACGGAGACTTGGATATAAGGATCAGAGAGCCAAATGTTTTTTAAGGAAAAGAAAAAGCTGTCCCCTTCTGCAGAACCCAAGAGTGCCCTGCTAATACAGAAGGTCCTCTTTTCTGTGTTACAGAATAACGTGGAAAGGGCAGGAATGTGGGGCCAGGCCTGCCCAACGGGAAAGAAAATTACTCCAACGGTTTCTTTACAATATGTACAGAGCACGCTGTGAGCCAGCGCCACAGATACAAAACACACAACAATATTTAAAAACAAACAGGAACAGAGATGGGCCCTTGGCTCCACCCCACAGGAGCCTGGCAGGGCATCATCAGGCTGAAATTCAGAGTCATCCCCCTGGTGGGGCTGACTCAGGTTAGGCGGGGTGAAGGCGTCCAAACGAACTACTTCCATGGAATAGGAAGTCTGGGGTCGCAGGAGGCAGAGGGAATGATGGGGGCAAGAGAGGCTGCTGGGGGGCCTGCTAAGTGGTCTAAAACAGTGAGTTTTGGGAGAGGGCTCAGAACCCAACTTGAATAAAAACAATGACACAAAAACCCAGAGGGAAGGTCTATAGATCAGAGGGGCTCCTCTTGGGCAAATGACCCCAAGCCATTCAGAGTAGGGGTCCAGGGTTCTTGGAGAACAGCCTCTGCTGGGCATTGTGCTTACTATCCACCACCTCCATGCCCCAAACTGAGTCAGAGCCAAGTCCTTGCTCTTAAATGGTCACTTTGGCACTCTGGTCACAAATACCCCTCTCGAGCCTAGGCTGGTGTGTGTCAGTCTTTCTCAATCCAGACGGTCAAGGAAAGATAGCCAAGGAGAACAAAGGGACGCTACCTAAAAAGCAAAATAAGAGCTAAAGCTCCCCATACCTTGGGGAAGAAGTGACTCCAATAAAGCTAGCAGATCATCGTCACTTTCCCAGGGCAAAAAGCCTGAAGCTGGACTGGTAGGCTGCATTCCTAAGGAGAGCACAGAAATGTCTGCTGCCTCATAGCACAGCTCCACTGAGTACACTCTAGGGTTCTGAGGAGTAATGGCTTGGATGTGTTATCCCAGGGTCTAAGGAACACCTACCTTCCCATGGCCAGTGGCCCCTAAAACAAAAACGTGTGTTACAAAGAAACACAGCTTATATTGGCACACACGGGGTTACAGATTGAGCTGTATAAAATCATGTACTTGTATACAGAGCAATTAGGCTGTATATATTTGTGGCCCTAAATGAGGAGGACACTCAGCTGGCTGAATGGACAGAACATCTCTAAGAACTGCTGGGTGCTCCCAGGGCCCGCCTCCTGGGCCTTGCCCTAAGGTGACCTGGCAGACTCCAAAGCTCCCCATGCTGGGGGGCATACTGTTTTACCTGCCTGAGTCTTAAGAGCCAAGCAGTGGAAAAGAAAAGGAGCGATCAGCATGGGGATCCCCCTGGGAAAGGCACCAAGGGGTCAGGAGGAAAGAGAGACAAGGGCAAGGAGTTGGGGGCTAAGAAGCAGCAGGACTTAGTGGGGATGCGGGTTCTATTTCACAACACTCCATTCATGCTCCAGCTCCAGCTTACTCCCAGTGTCCCCAGGGAGCCCTGTGCTGGTGTTGGGACCCTGGCTCTCTGCCTGACGGGCAGCCCAAGGCCACGGTGGGGCAAATGCCTTGGTCTTCCTTTCCAGGCTAG